TTTTTTATTATAATTTTATTATTAGTACACTAGAACACTAGATATGTTGTCATTCTTACACTATAATACTGAACTTTGATTTCAGTGATTTGGACTATGAGATGGACACTTGCTTCTTGCACTCTATGTTGCACTTTACTTTTTTACTTTTGGATTTCATTTGGTTTAATGAAATATAGTTTAATAAAATATTCTTAAGTAAAATTGTTGATTTTTTTGTGTGGGAAATTAATCGCTTGGATTAATCGATAAATTAGTCGATAGATTAATCGAAATAAAAATAGTCATTAGTGGCAGCCCTAGGCTGATTAGACATGCATCACACACAAGTAACCTGAGGTGGGGCAAGCACATTTTTCAGAAACTGTAAACACTCTCTTATGTAAAAAAAAAACGCCTTTGGCAGTATAATGATTTTTATCTCCACCGATTTTGCGTTTTTTTGTGTGGTCCTGGTTTCACTCATGTGTTTTTTTTCTCTTTGCAGAGGAACTTCTCCATGTCTGTCAACAGTGTGGCTGTGCTGAGGCTTATGGGTAAGGGGGGCGGGGCCGCCCCTGCTGGAGTGAACCGAGGCAGAGGCATTGTGAGAGGCGGTCGAGGCAAGTTGATCTATTTATGTGTACATGCGTGTAAATTATTCATGTATTGGCTGAAGTTTATGTCACGCTGTGTGTTTAGGTCGAGGAAGAGGAGAGGGCGGTTTCTACCAAAGAAGCAGTGAGGAAGGAGAGGGCGGTTTTGGTCGTAGCGTTCGAGAGATCCATCGCAGTCAGAGCTGGGATGACAGGTATTCTTAATCGTTTTGTTTTATTTTATTTTATTTTAAATTATTTCTATAGTTTTGTAAGTCATTTGAATCTTTTAATTTAATTTTTTGTGGTACTTTTCCTATTGTGGTCTCAGTTTGTTGCTTTAGCTCTTGTCTCAATAAATATAAAATCCTTTTATCAGCATACAATCTAGATTTGGATGGCTGTTGAGGCAAATCAAAAGCTGTCTAAATAAGCCTTTGTCTCTTTTCATTCTGCAGAAGTGAGAGACGTTTTGAGAAACCTCTGCGGAGGGAAGGTGTGCGTCTTGGTTTTGAGGAGGGGGGTCCGGGTGGCAGAAAGGAGTTCATGCGCTCTGATAGCGACAACTGGCGCATGCTGAGAGAGGAGCAGGAGGAGGAGGACACAGGAGAGGCTGGTGGCAGCTGGAGACTCACCGGCTCACGAAGAGATGGTAACACAGTACACATTTACACTTGGCATATAAAAGGAAAAAAAGTATTTTATTTCATTTTATTTCACCACTAGTTAATATTAGATGTAAACAACCATCTGTTTTGGCTAAACGCTTTTTAGTGGATTACTTGAGGTGTACCATAAGTAAATGGAGCTTTTGTTAAACATGCGCTCGAAAGTTCCAAGAGTTTGGCGTCAGTAAGAGAAAAAAAAATTCATCAAGGATGCATTACATTCATACAGTGACAGAAAATGCATTTATAATGATAGAAAATATTTTTAATTATATTAAATGCTGTTCTTTTGAACAACTGTTTTCAACGCTGATAATGAGATGTTTTTTGAGCAGCAAATCCGCATATTTGCATGATTTCCAAAAGGATCACGTGATGCTGAAGATTGGAGTAATGACTGCTGAAAATAAAATATAAATTTAAAAAAAAAACAGTTATATTAACTTATATTTCTGTTTTACTGTATTTTACCACCCTCAGACTTTTGAACATTAGTGTATAAACTTGTGGTGCTTTTTCCTAGATGGTGGTCCTCGCTCCGCCGGTTGGCGCGAACACTCTGGCCCGGGTGAAGTTCGCCGCAGGAAGTTTGACTTCGACTTCCGGGATGGAGGAAATGAGGGAGGCAGACGGAGAGCAGGCAGCGAAGGAGCAGAGGAGGAGAGAGATGGTCTGCCAGAGTGGTGCACAGATGAGGAAGATGGAGAAATGGGAACTTTTGATTCTTCTGGAGCGTTTATGTCTATTAGGGTGAGACCATGAGATCTATTCTCTATTGATTTATAATCTATGGTTTTCTTTTCTTTACATTTTTCAACTCTTCTATTGTCTTAGAAGGGCCCGAAAGACCCCATTCCAGAAGAGGAGTTTGAGTTCCAGGGGTTGGAGGATGAGGAAGAGGACGGTGATAATCAAGAGAAGAAGAATGGCGCTGGTGCTGAAAAAAGCGAGAAAGGTGTGAACAAAAATGGAAAAAGTAGACGCTTAAAGCACAGTTCTTGCAAAAATGTATATGATTGCTTTGTGTGAGGATAATACAGAATTATTTTGTGCGCAAATACAATTTGAGCACTGCTGTGAAGTTGTCTGAGATTTACAAAAATCTTTGAAGTGCGTTTAATTAAAATATGATTTTAAACAAAGATATCGAACTTGCTTCAATTGATCTGATTACTCTCTCTTTTCTCTTTCTACAGATGTCACTGACTCTGCTCCAGTGTCTGAAACTGAAGTGAAACCGATTTCTCCTTCCCCTCCTTCTCCTCTCCCTCAGTCTCTTCCTGCTCTGGTCCCTGAGGCTGTGCCCTCTGCTGCCCCCTCTGGCCTGGAGGAGCCTCAGCCTGCCCCCTCCATTCCCAACAAACTACCAAGTGAAGGTAAATTTTTTTTTTATATAAATTGATTTTTCTATAGCTATATAGATGGATGATGCTTCACTTGTGTATTGTCTTTTCTGTAGTGTTATCAGAGGCCATGTTAGATTTGAGCCCCAGTGCCTCCTCCAGTCTGCCTTCATCGCCTCTCTCTTCATCCTCTGCTGCTACTGACCTCCCACCACCGGGGGGTGATATTGAGGATGATGAGGGCATGAAGCACCTGCAACAGGTACCACAGAAAAGGAGTTCTGAGAGTAACAGATACAATAACATTTGACTGAATTTAAAAGATGAAAGGTTCAGCTGCAAAAATGGGTCATTTAGAACATGTTATAATAATAATATCGTCCGCATATATTGATCGCATTGATTATATTAGTAGACACTCAGTATTCACCAACTTAGGGATGTCATTGTTAACTCTTTCATATGTGCAAAACAGTTAGCCAATCACAACAATGTTATTTATATGTACAATGTACAATAGTAAAAACCATCTGCTTAATTCTTAGTCAGAAAGAGGGTGGGGAAATTGTCTATTTATATTTTTGATGATAATTTATTTCTAATTATTTTTTGTTACTAAATAGACTAAATTATGACTAAATTAACTAACATTATTTATAATTATTTATGCATTTATTTATAATATTCTTTTGATCTAGAAATGTGGATTAACATTAAAATAGAGTAAATTATGACTACATTAAAACTAAATTGAGTTCTAATCTTTTTTATTGTAATAGCTCATTTATAATACATTGTTATTGTTCTAGAAACTTGGATTAACGAGTATACTTTCTATGAAAAATAAATGCTACTAAAAGTGTAGAATATGTCTCCTCTTTAAATAAATTACATTGCTTATAGCACACTTTCATTCTTTTAGTGGAAAAGAGTTTTTGATGGTGATTTATGTGTGTAGGAGGCAGAGAAGATGGTGGCAGCGCTCCAGGACACATCTCTAGAGGAAGAGTGTTTCACCCAGACTCTTCAGGAGAGCAGAAACACAGCCTCTGCTCTTCCTCTCTCCCATGACTCTGCTATGAAATGGTTTTACAAAGACCCACAAGGAGAGATTCAGGGTACGCACGCATTCTCTCATAGGAGGTCAACTCATGCATATGGAGCAGTGCTTTGAGTATAGTCCGTAAATACCATCTCTTTTTTGCCTGTTTTTTTTGTCTGTTCCGTCTCTCTCAGGCCCTTTCAGTACAGTGGAGATGTGTGAATGGTTTCAGGCGGGGTATTTCGCCATGAACCTGCTTGTTAAACGTGGTTGTGATGAGGGATTTCAGCCGCTGGGAGAAGTCATTAAGATGTGGGGGCGTGTGCCTTTCGCCCCTGGCCCCTCCCCTCCGCCCCTCCTGGTGAGGAAGCAAGCCGACCTTCGCCCTCACCCACCCCGGGGGGCAATCGTGAGTCTCTGGGTGGAAGGGTGAATGTTTGGGCATTATTTTCCATAGGGTTATTTGCATTCTGGGGAGTTTTTCCTCATCCATTAGTTTTCATATTAATTCAAAAGGGAATAAGCGTGTTTGTAAAGTTGTCTCTGTTTATCTCTGCGTGTATTTGTATAAATTTGCATATGTGTTAACGTGGAATGTGTGCAGTGTGTCTTAAAGAACTATTCAAATCTCTCTTTTCAAAATGGAAAACTATAAACATTTTGTAATTAGCAAAACAAAAAAGTCTTTAATGTTTCTGTAGGTCCTTCATTTGTTTACTGAAATGCTTTTATTATACTTTTACTAAAATAAATGCTCTAATGGTTTAATGTTTGAAATCAAAGAAATTAGGATAGCCATGAAGATTAGTATTTTCACTGTTTCTCTGTTAAAATAAAAGTATTTTTATTATTATTAATTTTTTTTAAATTTATTTTACAGTACAATAATATTGCTACTTTGGAGCATTAACAAATGTAAAAGCTTACATTTACATTTACATTTAGTCATTTTGCAGGCGCTTTTATCCAAAGCGACTTACAGTTGGGGACTTACAGCTAACAAATCATTCTGCATTGTTGTATACAATGTGAAATTTTGCCGTGTAAATTTTTGCTATAGACTGCATTTATCATAAGTAAATAAATACCATTAAGCTAAAAAAAATATTCTTTTAAGCCATCTTAGAGAAGATTATCAAAAAAAATTACCAGTATTTAATCACTAAATATGAAAAATATAAGAACGATTTTGTTAATTTGTTTAATTATATTGGTGTTTTTACAGTTTGCATAAACGTCTTGATGACTTAAATATAATTTCCTTAAACGTGTGGATATCTTGTTTGTAAATGTGCTTATGCTCCAAAGGAGAGTAGCGCGGGAGCTGTGTCGAGTTCCAATCATATGCAGATGTCCGTTCATACTACAGGACCGAAAGCGCGTGTTACGTGACCATTCATGCACACTTTAGCATCATGCTACATAAGACCAGGGTTTAAATTGGGCCGGGCCGTCTGGGGCTGAGGCCCGGCACATAGACTCCAGGGCTTGACATTAACGCTTCATTAACGCCAAACAAGTAACATGATTAAAACATCAGTAACCAAAAATAACTATGTAAACACCAAAACGCAATATTATTCTGATTTTATTACATTTAGAGTAAGTGGCGAATAGTGGATATCTAATGTATATAATGC